TTTTAGTAATAATAATATAGTTTATCAGTTTAACAATTACACTAATTATATTTTTAATATATATTTCTTCAGTTTCATCTTTTATATCCAATTTTTTTTTTGTAGATACAGAAATATTTATGTAAAGTATATATATAGTAAATAATTAAAATTTGTATTAATAAAAATAATTATTATATATAATAAAATAATTATAGATTAATATTAAGATAACTAATTAATTTAATTAAGAGTAAAAAAATAGTGATTATGAAATTTAAAATATGATTAAAATGTATAATTATTTTTCCTAAAAGTGAAAGAACAAATAAAAATGAACAAACAAAAATAGAAATAGTGGATAAATAAAATGTGACCGAGGGAGTATTTATTTATAAATGAATAAAAATATCAAATTAGAATAAGAATATATTATATAAATATCGAAATACTTCTAATTTTTATAAAAATATTAATACCATTTGTAATTTCAAGAACAATAATATCAAAACAATTTTACATATTTTCATTAATCAATAAAATATTATTTTTTAAATTTATTATAAAAAAAAAAACAAATAAGTACATTAGACCGAGATAAAAAGAGTATATAATTTAGTATTGGTAAACCCATGCCAAGTGTAATTTCTCTAACTTATTTTATTTTATTTTTTTTAAAAAATTTAACGAATCCTATCATTTAAAACAAACTCTCTGTCCAATAAAATTATATAGATTTGATTAGGTACGAAAAGTAAAATATTAAAATTTGATAGATAAAAAGTAAATAGTGATACTCCCTCCGTCTCAGTCTCAGAAGAAATGTCTTGTTGAGAGTTGACACGAGAATTAAAGAATAATAGTATTTAATTGATAGTGGGTATAAAGTAGAATGTAAAAGACTATAATGCCCTTGCTTTTTGAAGAATTTTAAAAAATAGATCAGAGTAATAAATAGAGATAGTTTGGAAAAGTAGGAATAATTTTGTTATAAAGTAAGGACCACAGTTACTAAATAAGGAAACAAGACAATTGTTTTGGGTCAGACGAAAATGGAAAAACAAGACAACTCTTTTGGGACGGAGGGAGTATTATTGAGAATTTATAAAATTTTATTGATAAAAGAATAGTGATAAAAGTAGAAAAAAGAAAGAAGAATAAAGACCAAAATTAATCCCATTTAAATTCAATTTTTTTTTTCCATTTTTAATCTCATTAAAAAAAATTCATCAAAACTAATCACAATAAAAAAAAAAAACTTAATTCATTATTTTTAATCCTACTGTCAAATTTCAACGAAATATACTGATGTGAATGTAATGAAGACTAATATATTATCTAATTTGAATCAAATACAATCGTCTTGCATAGAATATCCGTTAGCTATTATGAAATAGATGTAGTATATATATTTAAAAAAAAAAAGAAAACATAGTGCAAATCTATAAATGAAACTAACCAAACAATTTAGAGGCAACTAATATGTACACCTGATATATTTTGAATGAATACATATTAAATTATATTGATAATATAAAAAATAATATTTTATTTAAAATTTTTAATTTTTGTAAATAATATTGGTAATATAATATATATTTTTTTATTAATATTTATAAAAAAATACTTTATTCGTTCGAATTCAAATACTATTTTTGTACTATTTATCATATGTCCCACTTAAAAATATCATTGTCTATTTTAGTAAGTGTAATAATACACTAATAAGAAATATCACTAATTTTTATTTAAACTACAACCATAATATTATACATATAATTATTTTATGGATTTTGTTACCCTGTTGATTAAGGTTAATTAGTATGATGTTGACTAGTCTCAATCTATTAGATTAATAATCAATCCAACAGCAGAAATTAAAGACAATGATATAATTGTAAATTTATAGTTTCTTTCACAATAAGGAATACAAATCATTGCCTTAATTTCTCTTCTTTCCTTCTATTCTCTCGTTCAACCAATATTATTATTTTAACTAAATGTGTAAATAATTAAATTAGCAAAATTAAACAAATTAATAAATAAGAAGGTGTTTTTACAATGTAAACGTTGGTATTTTATTATATAATATGTGTTAAACTACTAATGTGCTATTTTAAACGTAATAATATGTTTATATTACAATGTTTTTGTTGTGTGCTTAAATGTATCCATTATAGTATAAGTGTGACCTGTGGCGCAGTCAATCAAATATTTCACCTACTCCGTGATCACAATTTAATGTAATATAGGGGAAGGGATCGTCTCCACAGGGATTGTGTGATTCACTATTTCGTATTCTAATGCAGTAAATAAATGGGGATTTTTTTTTTATTATCTAATGAAAATAAAATAACAAAGCAATTAAATTAAAGGGAATTGACTATCAATGGGATGCTTGGCTCAACGGATGATGCAAGTATGACACTTGTGTTTTATCATTAATTCAATAAAGTTAATTCTTATTAAAGTATCAATAAATTGGTTATAGTTATCAACAAGCTCTGACAACCAATTTTTCCTTACAGTGTAGGTAATTAAGGTACGACCGTTAACTACCCTAATTAAGCAAATAAACCTAGGTACGCCCATAAGAATATTGCCTAACTGCATTGTAATCTAGAAAAACCCAATTCAAACAATTATTACCTAGGAGGAGCAATTAGATTTGATTGTCTAACCCCCGGGAAGGTTATTCAACCCGGTTATCACCTATTCAAGTGCGAATACAATTACGGATATCCTACCTGAATTGACTTTAGATTATCAGACTAATTTAAATATCGGTACCAAAATATTCAATCAATCTAACAATCACAAACACTATTCTCAGAATTAGACAAATATTGATAATAAAAAAGAACTTTTATAAAGAAAATCAAGAATCTCCAAAACAAAAGAACCAAAACATTATCACCCCTCAAACCAGAAAAATATCTACTCCATAATCAAATGACAAAGAATAAAAGAGAAAGATGAAGTCATAGTGGGAGGGGGAAATCTTCTCTGTCGATTTGCTCCTGCGCGATCTATGACTCTGTCAGTCTCCTGCTCTTGTGCGTTTCTGCCCTAGCCGTTCTCTTCTTGGCAATAGGCGTGTGTTTTTCTTCTTATTTGATTTTTGCCCTAATTATTTTGTAGATGGGCTTTTGGGCCTTTAATTAATTTTATTTCCTTTTTTCTTCCAATTATGTCAAATTTAATATTTGCCATCTGCACACAACAAATAAACAATTCGCATATAAATTAGGTAGAATGCAATCAAAATCACCCAAATATCGCATATGATATGAATATAAAACGCATGCGATTTCTAACTATCAATTCTCCCCACACCTAGATCATGCTTGCCTTCAAGCATAAGTTCGAAATAAGCCAAAGAAATCGCAGGCAACTCGATATGACAAGAGGATCCAACACAACCAATTCAATCCGAATTTTAACACATCAAGCCAAGTCAACCTCACAAGATAAAGTGTATTCGCACATGCTCTCTGAAGGAATTAAGTGTATAATTGGCTCAACACTCAGGTAGTGCAACAAAAGATTATTCTATAGGCTTGAGTAAAAATCAAATCTCCCTTGCTTAAAATATTCGAATCTAGCATAAAGAATCAAAGGGACTTTCAATAAGGGTTGTAACGGGGCTTATGGTCAGGGTAGGAGAAAAGGATATACAAGGGCTAAAATATGTCAGAAAAGAACACAATAAGAACACGATGCTAGCACATGAAGAACAAATCGGCATAAACAATCAAATCCTTACTCTATTCACTACCCAAACTTTAATAATGAAATTAAATGAAAATACTTTATTAAGATAATTATTTATTTATTTATTTTTGTATTATTTATTTTTGTTTCTTTTTTTTTTCGTTTTTTTTTCTTTTTTTTTTTGATTTTTTTTTATTTTTGATTTTTGATTTTTGATTTTTTTTTTTTGGCTTTTGCCTATATATTATATACCTACATTACCCACTGTTATTCCTTCATACTATGACTTATTCGTACTCAAAGTTCGTTTCTAACTAGTGCCGAAGAAATAAAGTGCATCACACATGGACTTAAAGTAATTCTTTCTAACATAGGGTTCAAATCGAAGAAGGCTCAATCGAAAGAAGGGTATGAGGCTAAAAAAATAGTTTATTATAAAAGAAGAAAATAGGCTAAGAAGGCTTAAATGGGCTAACTAGGGGAATATATTGTGCTGGGTAATAAAGAAAGGCTTAATGGGTTACCTAATGCCCTTATCATTTTCAAAACGCAAGATCCGATAGTTGCAAGTTCAACATGCATAATCACTCAAGTTCTAGGTCATCTAATTGAGCACTACAAATCACACATGAAAAAAATTTCCAAAAGCTTGAATCTATGCAATTTATTTTCTAATGTGACTTTTGGAACATAGGCTCAAATTCTCACAGGGTTCAAACGTCAACTTGACTCAACATATCACCAATCAAATGTCATTAGTCATGCCAAACTAACCTATCACACAAATCACCTTTGACTAACTTCAGACTAATCTAAAAAAATATGCGAAAAGACAACAAATCAGGCATAAAAATAGTACAAAAATGAAAATTTTGCCCAAAAATTTGCATAACTCTCCCCACACCTAAAGTATGCATTGTCCTCAATGTAAAGAGAGCAATAAAAGAAGAGAGGAACTTCCCTGGAGTCCATAGGGGGTGTAGTATTTAGGAGCTTTGTTAACACCTCTTCATTTGATCGTGATTTTTAGGGAGGCTTGAAGTTCTCCTGAGTCCTGCGAAAACAACTAACCAACGCAAGCCATTTAGAGGAGCGGATATGGTGATCGGCGATGACTGAGCAGGGGGGGAAGAAGTCGACGGTGCCGAAAGTTGGAGGCGGCGACTAAACCAAATAAAACTATCAAAAGTGTTATTAGTAATTAAACAATAAAAATAAATAAAATTAAAGAAAGCAATTAAATGATTTTGGGTTGTCTCCCAAAAAGCGCTTTTCTTTATAGTCTTTGAGCTAGACTTTGTTGCGTCTCAGTCCTCAACTTCGACATCGGCGAGAGACACCAGCTCTACAGATTCAAGTGGGAATCCCTCGTAATATGACTTAAGACGATGTCCATTGACCACAAACTTTTTCTCCGTCCTTAAGCTCTGAATCTCCACTGCACCATAAAGAAAAAGTTTAGTAACGATAAAGGGCCCTATCCACCTAGAGCGCAGCTTTCCAGGGAAAAGCTTAAGACGAGAGTGATATAATAAGACTTTCTGTCCGATCTCAAAAATTTTTCTGGAGATGTGATGATCATGAAAGGCTTTTGTCTTTTCCTTGTAGAGTATTGCATTCTCGTATGCCTCTTGTCGAATCTCCTCCAGCTCTTGAATTTGCATTTTTCGATGGACTCCGGCTTCTTGAAGATTCATATTGCACTTTTTCACTGCCCAAAATGCTTTGTGTTGAATTTCCACAGGTAAATGGCAAGGTTTTCCATACACCAATCGAAATGGTGACATCCCTATTGGTGTCTTGTATGTTGTTCGATATGCCCACAGAGCATCATCGAGTCTCGAGCTCCAATCTTTTCTGTTCGGTTGAACTGTTTTCTCCAAGATAGACTTGACTTCGCGGTTGGAGATTTCAGCTTGTCCATTCGTTTGAGGATGATATGAGGTTGACACCTTGTGAAGCACACCATATGTTCGAAAAAGTGCAGCCACGGTTTTGTTGCAAAAGTGAGTCCCTCTGTCACTCACAATTGCCTTTGGTACTCCAAATCGAGAGAAGATATATGACTTTATGAATTCTGTTCGTTGACATCTATCACAAGACTTACAAAACTCAAATGCGTCCTTGAAGAGAGTAGGCCAGTAAAGTCCACTGTCCAACACCTTTCTAGCTGTTTTCTTGGATCCAAAGTGTCCACCACATGCCATAGAGTGACAAAAGGTCAAAACAGAATGAAATTCACCTTCATTAACGCACATTCGAATGATTTGATCAGAGCATCGCTTCCAAAGGTAGGAGTCATCCCAAATGTAGTATTTTGCATCGCTGCGGAGCTTATCCCTTTTCGCCTTTGCCCAACCTGCAGGAAACTCGTTAGTGACTAAGTAATTAACAATATCAGCATACCAAGGGTGTGTAGTCGTAATAGAGAGAAGCTGTTCGTCAGGAAACGACTCTCGAACAGGAACTGCTTCTGACTCCACGGGTATACGACTCAAGTGGTCAGCTACCAAATTTTTAGTTCCTTTCTTGTCGCGAATCTCTATGTCGAACTCTTGTAGAAGGAGCACCCATCGAATTAATCGAGGTTTGGCTTCCTTCTTTGCCATCAAGTAACGCATAGCTGCATGGTCAGAGTACACAAACACTTTAGTGCCTAAAAGATAAGATCTAAATTTATCAAGAGCAAAAACAATAGCAAGCATCTCTTTCTCCGTGGTGGAGTAATTTAATTGAGCGCCATTCAGTGCTCGCGAAGCATAGTAGATGACATGAGAAGCTCTCCCAACTCGTTGCCCTAGAACGGCTCCCAATGCAGTATCGTTTGCATCACACATCAACTCGAATGGCAAGTCCCAATTCGGAGGTTGAATAATCGGTGGTGTTGTGAGGCGCTCCTTCAGTGCTCCAAATGCCTTCTTGCAATCGTCATTGAACTCATATGCTACATCTTTCTGCAGGAGGTGAAACAATGGTGCTCCGATCTTGGAGAAGTCCTTGATGAAGCGTCGGTAGAAACCTGCATGTCCTAAAAAACCACACAGCTCTCGCACAGAAGCAGGGTAAGGTAAAGCAGTGATTAGCTCAACTTTAGATTTATCTACTTCTATATCCTCATGTGACACCTTATGGCTTAAAACAATTCCTTGCTGAACCATCAGTTGACATTTCTCCCAATTGAGCACAAGGTTAGTTTCGATGCATCGTTTCAAGATTAAAGTCAAATTACTTAGACAATCATCAAAACTAGAGCCATATACACTAAAGTCATCCATAAAAACTTCAATGATTCGCTCAACATACTCAGAGAAAATACTTACCATACATCTTTGGAATGTTGCAGGAGCGTTACACAAACCAAAAGGCATCCTTCTGTAGGCGAAAACTCCAAACGGACAAGTAAATGATGTTTTCTCCTGATCCTCGGGTGCTATCGCTATCTGAAAATAACCTGAAAATCCATCTAAAAAGAAGTAATATGCGTGACCAGCGAGTCGTTCAATCATTTGATCAATATAAGGGAGATGAAAATGATCCTTTTTTGTTACCGCATTCAGCTTACGGTAATCTATGCATTGACGCCATCCAGTTTGTTTTCGAACTGGGAGCTTTTCTCCTTCTCGAGTCTCTTCCACCGTTACTCCAGCTTTCTTGCGAACCACTTGAACTAGACTCACCCACCTACTATCGGAGATAGGGTAGATGATACCAGCTTCGAGAAGCTTTAACACTTCTTTCTTGACTACCTCAGTCATAATCGGGTTCAACTTCCTTTGAGCTTGTCTCACTGGTTTTGAATCCTCCTCGAGTGTGATCCTATGAGTACAGAACAAGGGATCAATACCTTTTATGTCAGTGATCGTCCATCCAATGGCGGTCTTGTGATCTTTTAGAACCTTAATCAATTTCTCTTCTTGTTCTGGTGTCAATTTTTCAGAGATGATCACCAGTAGAGTCTTCTTCTCTCCCAAATAAGCGTACTTTAGAGTTTCAGGTAAAGGCTTCAATTCCAATTCAGGTGCCTGCATCAAAGATGGTAATAAACATTGATTAGACTCATGTAAGAATATTGGAGCTAATTCATACCTTGGTGACACTCTTGGAGTTGAGTTAAGCTCCTTGAGAACTTTTCTTATTCTCTTGTCTACGGCTATCTCTCTCTCATGTTCTTTCTCCAGATGTTCCATTAACACGATCTTCAATTCGTCGGAACCACTTAATCCAAATGCGTCCTGCACCAAGGGATCAATGATATCAATTGCATATAATGTTTCAGAATCAATAGGATGTTTCACAACATCAAAAATATTGAAATGGACTTCTTCTCCATCAAATTCCAAAGCGAGAGTGCCCTTCCGTACATCAATTTTTGCTTCTGCAGTGCACATAAAAGGTCTTCCTAACAAAAAAGGCGGTGGATTAAAGCAGTGTGCATCATGCATATCCAGAATATAAAAATCAACAGGAAAAATTAAGTCGTTAACTTGAACTAGCACATCTTCTATCATACCATCAGGGTAAGCATTGGTTCGATCAGCAAGTTGAATAATAATTCCTGTTTCTTTTAAAGGCCCTAGATTTAAAGAGTCGTATATTGATCCGAGGCATGACATTAATAGCAGCTCCTAGATCTAGCATAGCTTTAGTTATCTCAGTTTTTCCAATCCTATAAGGGATAGAAAACATACCTAGATCACCTGTTTTGGGTGGTACCTTTCTTTTGAAAACAGAAGAAACGTTCTCACCCGCTATAATGTACTCGTTCCCTCGCAATTTCCTTTTGTTAGTGCACAGTTCTTTCAAAAACTTCGCGTACTTGGGAATTTGGTTGATAGCCTCCAGGAGCGGGATATTAAGTTCCACCTTCTTGAAGATTTCCATCATCGCTTTTCGTTTGTTCGCCTTTTGTGGTCTTTTCAACCTATCAGGAAAAGGAGCTGGTTTAGCTTCAGTAGGAGGAACAGAGTTAGAAGGTACCTTTTCGTGAAGTTCGGCCTCTTTTTCAATCTCCATCTCAATCTGATCTTCATTCTGTCCCTTCGAGATAGGAGATGGACCTTCCAATTCTTTTCCGCTGCGAAGAGTTATAGCACTGATGTTCTTCGGGTTTTGCTCTGCTTGCGCAGGCCACTTTCCTCTTTCTCGTAGCTGTTTTACCTCTTCTGAAACTTGGCTAATCTGACTTTGTAGCTTTTCGACACTTGACTTATCTTTTGCTGGAATTGCAGGGTACTGGTAGCCATAGACTTCACCAAGTCTTCCAAGGACGGACAGGAGTTGCTTGTGGGTGCTTGGGGGAGCTGTTTCTCGTAAGAGCGAGGCTATTGCATCTGATGTGTGGCTCCAAATGGTTGAGGACCATGATTTTGGTGTGCGTTTCCATAGCGCAGGTTTGGATGATCTCTCCAGCCTGGATTGTAAGTGTTGGAGTATGGATTGTACGCTGGAGGTCTATTCATACCGTAGTTTGCAGCGTTCACATCCACTGCACATTCTTCTTGGAGGGTCGGACATGCATCTGTAGGGTGTCCTGCACTCGTGCATATTCCACACGCCTTGACCTGGACACTCGGGTTGGATTTTTCCACGACCATCTTGCGAACAAAGCTCGTCAACTCAGAAAGTTGTTTTTGCATCGATTGGATAGCATGGTCACTGTTGTTTCCGCTCATCTGTCCAACATCCCTTGAACCAAATTGCTGCGTGTTTTCAGCCATCCTCGCAATAAGATCCCAAGCTTGTGCCGGCGTCTTATTTACTAGAGCTCCACCACTTGCAGCGTCGATGATGTTCCTGTCCATCAATGATAAACCATCATAAAAATATTGAATCAATAGTTGAGGGGGAATTTGATGTTGTGGACATTTAATGATAAGCTTATTAAATCGCTCCCAATATTTATGGAGCGTTTCACCTGATTGTTGCTTGATGCCACATATCTCCTTCCTCAGGATCGCAGCTCTCGAAGCTGGAAAGTACTTCTCCAAAAATTTCTTTTTCATGTCGTTCCACGTGTCGATGCTTCCAGGTGGGAGATAGTAGAGCTAATCCTTTGCAGCATCTTTGAGTGAGAATGGGAAGACTCTGAGTTTGATCTGTTCGTCAGTAACACCTGGTGGTTTCATGCTGGAGCACACCACGTCGAACTCTTGCAAGTGTTTGTGAGGTTCTTCACCTGCAAGTCCATGAAAAGAAAGCAATAAATGAATTAACCCAGATTTCAGTTCAAAAGCAATAGTGTTATTCAGAGTGGAAAAGTTAATGCATAAGGGCTGCTACGCCAAGTCGGGAGCAGCCAACTCCCTTAAAGTGCGGGTATCCTCAGCCATGACAGTCTCTTGATCACTTTCAGAGTCGCTAGAGCTAGAGATTTTGAGGTGGTTTAAAGATTCTGCCAGCTTCGCAACCTGAGCAGCTTTTTGTTGCTTGGCTTCCTTTCGTAGCTTTCGCTCAACCTTCTCGATCTCAAGATTAAATATCAGTTCACATGTACGAGAAGAACGGGGCATAAAAAAGAGGATAAATTAAAATAACACAAAAGAGTAAAACAAAGCGCAGATCCCCGGCAACGGCGCCAAAAATTGACCTGTCGCGCGGTCAATCAAATATTTCACCTACTCCGTGATCACAATTTTAATGTAATATAGGGGAAGGGATCGTCTCCACAGGGATTGTGTGATTCATTCTTTCGTATTCTAATGCAGTAAATAAATGGGGATTTTTCTTTTATTATCTAATGAAAATAAAATAACAAAGCAATTAAATTAAAGGGAATTGACTATCAATGGGATGCTTGGCTCAAGGGATGATGCAATTATGGCACTTGTGTTTTATCATTAATTCAATAAAGTTAATTCTTATTAAAGTATCAATAAATTAGTTATAGTTATCAACAAGCTCTGACAACCAATTTTTCCTTACAGTGTAGGTAATTAAGGTACGACCGTTAACTACCCCTAATTAAGCAAATAAACCTAAGTACGTCCATAAGAATATTTTCTAACCACATTGTAATCTAGAAAAACCCAATTCAAACAATTACTACCTAGGATGAGCAATTAGATTTGATTGTCTAACCCCCGGGAAGGAACTATTCAACCCGGTAATCATCTATTCAAGTGCGAATACAATTACGGATATCCTACTTGAATTGACTTTAGATTATCAGACTAATTTAAATATCGGTACCAAAATATTCAATCAATCTAACAATTACTAACACTATTCTCAGAATTAGACAAATATTGATAATAAAAAAGAACTTTTATAAAGAAAATCAAGAATCTCCAAAACAAAAGAACCAAAACATTATCACCCCTGAAACCAGAAAAGTATCTACTCCATAATCAAATAACAAAGAATAAAAGAGAAAGATGAAGTCACAGTGGGAGGGGGAAATCTTCTCTGTCGATGTGCTCCTGCATGATCTATGACTCTGTCAGTCTCCTGCTCCTGTGCGTTTCTGCCCTAGCCGTTCTCTCCTTGGCAATACGCGTGTGTTTTTCTTCTTATTTGATTTTTGCCCTAATTATTTTGTAGATGGGCTTTTGGGCCTTTAATTAATTTTATTTCCTTTTTTCTTCCAATTATGCCAAATTTAATATTTGCCCTCTGCACACAGCAAATAAACAATTCGCATATAAATTAGGTAGAATCCAATCAAAATCACCCAAATATCGCATATGATATGAATATAAAATGCATGCGATTTCTAATTATCAAAGTGTTTGCTATTTAAATATAAATATGTGCTAAACACAAATATATTATTTTAATTATAATAATATACTAATTTTGCAATATTCTTGTTGTGTACTGAAATGTGTTCATTATAGTATAAATGATTGTTATTTCAACATAGATATGTGCTAAACACAAACGTGCTATTTTAAATGTAATAATATGCTAAATTTGTTGTTGAAATTAACGGAATAATATTATTTCTCAACTAAAATTACGGTTACATCGTCATATATATACATATTGATATATTACCATAAATATAGATATATATGTTTTTTAGAATATATATCAGCATTCCTCCTCAAACTCAAGGTGGGAGTGTAAAAATCAGCTTGAGTTTGCTCAAGAACGACTTAAAACAGCCGGGTAAATGAGGCTTGATGAAGCCATCAACAGTCTGATCAGCAGAAGAAGTGGAGGACAAGGAGACGTTGCCGTTAGCAATGTGATGACGGACAAAGTGACAGTCGATCTCAATGTGTTTCGTACGCTCGTGAAAAGCATCATTCGTCGAAATCTTCATGGCACTCTGACTGTCACAATGAATAGTGGTAGCAGAGGGCTGAGTCATACCGAGATCAACCAGTAGCCATCAAAGCCATAGAAGCTCGGCAGTGGTATCGGCAAGAGCTCGATACTCGGACTCCGTACTGGACCGGGAGACGACCGTCTATTTCTTTCTGTGCTAAGAAATAAGCGAATCACCGAGAAAGAAACAAAAGCCGGTAGTTGAGTGACGATCGGTGGGATCTCCCGCCCAATCATCATCAGAGTACCCAGTTAAAACCAAGGACGAGCGAGCTGAATAATGGAGACCATGGAGGAGTGGACATGAACTGACTGACGATATGAACAACATAGGCAATGTCAGGTCGAGTAACACTCAGGCTTCCCACCAGCTGACGATATAAGGTAGGATTGTCAAGAGGGGCACTATCCATCGGAGTAAGGCGACAGTCAGACTGAAGAGGCGTAGGCGCGGTCTTAGAGTCAATGAGACCTACTTTAGACAGAAGGTCGGAGGCATACTTAGCTTGAGAAAGATAGTATCCGTCAGAGGTGTCGGAGATCTCAAGACCGAGAAAGTACCGAAAAGGCCCCAAACTCTTCATTTCAAAGTGGTTGTGGAGATGATCCTGTAGTTCAAAGATGCTAGACTGATCATCTTCTATAATGATCATGTCATCCGCATAAAGTAATAGAATAGTAACACCAGCAGACCCGCATCGAGTGAATAAAGCAGAATCATGATAGTTGGAAGTAAATCCAAACTGGAGCAGAGCAGAGCTAAATTTCGAAAACCAAGCTCGGAGTGCATGTTTCAAACCGTATAGAGCACAACAAAGTTTACAGACCTTGGAGGACGTGGGAAAATCAGGAGGGGGAGACATGTAGATGTCCTCAGAAAGATCACCTCGCAGGAATGCATTCTTGACATGGAGCTGATGTAGGGACAACTGACGAGCGGCAGCGATAACTATAAGACAACAGACGGAGGTGACACGAGCAACGGGGGCAAATGTCTCCTCATAGTCGATACCGTACTCTTGGGTGTAGCCTTTAGCTACCAAACGAGCCTTGTAGCGCTCTATGGATCCATTAGAATGTGTTTTGATCCGGAATACCCACTTACAGCCAATAAGTTTCTTGCCTCGAGGAAGATCAACCATATCCCGCGTGTGGGTTTTCTCCAAAGCCTGTAACTCTTTAGACATAGCGTGCCACCACAACGGGTCCATATACGCCTCACGAAAGGACCTAGTCTCATGGTGGGACAAGCTGGTAGAGAAGCAGTGATAATCGAGTAAGTGAGTAGGGAGATGACTAACCCGAGTGGAACGGCGAGGGCCAGGATCAGGGTCCAAGGTCGAAGTAGTGTCAGGATCTGGTGGTGGTGATGGATCAAAGTCGGGAGTAGTGGTGGGCTTGGGGATCGGCATCGGCTCAGAAGGCGCAACCAGGACAGCGTCATGAGCAGAGGACGGAGCCACGTCGTCGGAAGGAAATAGAGGTGGAGAAGATAAGGTAAGGAACGGAGACGAACGATCAAAGGGAACTCAAAAGTGGGACAAGGTAGAGAACTTGGTATTCTCCCAAAATGTGACATGACGAGAAATACGTAACCTATTGGAAATAGGATCCCGACAACGATAACCCTTATGCTCTACTCCGTATCCCAGGAAGCAACACAGATGCGATCGAGGTTCTAACTTGGTGCGCTCATGAGGAGAGAGGAGGATAAAACTGACACAACCAAAGGGGCGGAGAATACTATAATCAAGGGCTTGATTAAATAGTTTTTCAAATTGACTGACATTACCCATGACAGAGGAAGGGAGACGATTTATAGTGTAGACAACAGTAAGTGCGGCTTCCCCCCAAAAACGATCCGGACAAGAGGCAGATAAGAGAAGGGTGCGGACTGTATCGAGGATATGGCGGTGTTTACGTTCGGCGCGACCATTTTGTGGAGAGGTGTACAGGCAGGAGCGCTAGACAACAGTACCCTGATCATATAGGAAACGAAAGAATAAAGAATCTGTATACTAAAGAGCATTATCTGTGTGGAGAGTTTTTATGATGGAAGAAATTGGGTATGTATCATTTTTACAAAGTTCATATAAATAGAGAAGAGTTCAGAACGGTGTCGCATGAAGTAAATCCACGTAAAGCGAGAGTAGTCATCGATAAAAAGCACGAAATAACGAGAATCATTCATAGAGACAATGGGTGAAGGCCCCAAAATATCAGAGTGAACTAATGAAAATGGAGTATCCACAACAGAGGTATTATGAGGGAATGATAAAACAAGTTGTTTCCCAAAAAAACAATCCACAAAACTATGTATTGCTTGAATTTCTGTATAAAAACTATCACAATATTTGATTTATGGCATATTTTATTGATCTATCTCGCTTAACATGATCCAGAGTTGGTTTGTTGAGATTATTAACAATTTTTGCCATTTTAAGCAGTGATATGGGTCCAGAAAAGCTAAGACATATGAGGCAAGCGATAGCCGCCGCTGCTTGCAAGCAACGCTCCATCACTCAGGCCA